TGGAGTCCAACAAGGAAGGTGAGATGCTGCTTTGCAGGTGCTGCGGCTTCGCTGCTTATAGTGGCCTAGGAAAGGGCTTGTCAGTACGGCTGGAAAACCTCCTTCTGTGCTGTAGGTTTCCTTGAATACCTAGCTGAGGAACTGGCACTTAGTGAAGTGCCAAGGCAACACGTCGCTTTGACTTTCAGCTAGGAGCAGCATTTCTGAAACTCCCGAAACTAGCAGAGCAAGTGGCATGCACATCAAGCTACAGCCTTCACTTCCTGTCAGCCGGGATGGGATTAAAACAGTAACAGTGTAAGTTTTGGAAATGGATTTTGACTTTACTGGGTACTGGCCATATAACCCTAGCTCTTTTTAATCCCTGTGTTCTCATTTAAAAATACGTTGAGTGATGGGAGACAGAAGGTACAACAAAGACCATCTAGTAACTTATAGCATGTTTGGTGTTAGTAAGTGTGAAGACAAAATTCCTGGCTCAGTCTCTCACATCAGGAAGATACTGAATAAATGTCACTTATTCTCCATTCAGGCAAATGGGAAGAAAAACTATCAGTTGTGGCTTAAAAGAGAAAGTGGGCCAAAACACACAGGCTACAGGACTGAGACATGACAGAGTGACCCCTGGGGGGGCCTGTGTGCCCTCATGTGAAGCTTTGGAGTTTTGTGTGGCCACCTAATTTAGCATCCAACATTGTACAAAGTAGTCAGATACAGTTAGAAATCTAAGGTGAAAATTTTTGTGAATAAACTGAAAATGTATATTTCTAAAAGTTGCTTACAAAACCTTGCAAACCATTTTCACTATGCAGTGACTCTTTTGACCATCTGTTGTTCCAGGAGTAGAGCCGTGGTTTAGTTACATTGGCTACATAGATGTAAGATTTAGTTACAATATTTTAAGTGAAAATACATGTATTCATTGAAATTAACAAATAGGGCAATCATCCTATATCCAGAGTCACTACTTTTACTTTTTTGAAGATTTATTTTACTTGGAAAACAGAGTTAAACAGAAAGGAGGAGGGGCAGAGCGACAGAGCGAGATCCTCATCTACTGGTCTGCTCCCCAGGTGGCTGGAACTGAGCTGATATGAAGCCAGGTGCTTCTTCCGGGTCTCCCAGGTAGTGCAGGATGCAAGGACTTGAGCCATCTTGCGCTACTTTCCTGACCAGAGCAGGGAGTTGGATTGCAAGTGGAGGATTAGTACGCTGTGCCCCCACAGTGGTCCCAGGAGTGTCTGCCTTTTATACTGCTGACTTGTGTTACTACGAGGGTATTTCCACAGAGTGTGTGGGAAATGGAAGTAAAAGATAAATTCATTTTAGTAGAAAAATAATTGTGAAATTGAAGCATATGAAGGTCTTCAGAAACTCAATGGAATATATATCATGAGAAAACTATGCATAGATTTTTTTCAGCCAAAATGAATCTTTTATGTTTCCCATTATCTTTGAAGTCCTCTCAAATGCAATGTAGCTGAATGTGAATATTTGCATGATTAACTTATTTAGATTAACTTATTTAGTTAGTGGAGAAATGCATTTTTCACTTCCTATGCAGTATACTCTCAAAAGTGCCTTCAAAGACTCGTTTTTGATTAATATAAACATTTTTGAGTGGCACAAGATGCTTTTTGCTTATTAAAGCTTAAATAACATTTACAAAATAATTTAGTAGAAGGTGCTCCAGTTTTATTTTCCCCTTCCAAATAGATTAGCATTGGAAGGGCCTGCAAGGAGACAGGGTGACTTTTAAGGGTAATTGTGTCCTTGGGTCTTGGTTTCCTGCTAGCTAAGGTGACGTCAGCCTTCGTTGTTGCTGTCAAGGTATTTTCTCACACCCAGAGGCTCTTCCTGTCAGTACACCACTGCATTGCTAGCTCCTTGTGTGTCAGTTACATGAACTTCTGTCACCTTGTCATAATACAACATGAAAACACCTATTTCATCTTTTTTTCGTTATTGTTCTCATATCCTATATACTTTATGAAGCTCTCTAAAAACCATTTAATTTAGTGCAGTACATAGATCTTATAATGAGATCCTTTCCTGTTTATATGTTTTTACTACTTCTCAGTAATGTTTTCTTTTTTTTTTAAGTTTCTAGATCTTTTGAAGTTGTTTTTCTTAATAAAATAGACATTTGTTGTGACCCAGATTACATGATTTTGCTGTGTATAGTGATTCATGTTAAACCTACATGTTGGGGCTGGCAATGTGGCACAGTGGATTAAGCTCTGCCTGCGACTGGTTCAATTCCTGGCTTCTCTATTTCTGCTTGAGCTCCATGCTATCGTATCAGAGAAAGCAACAAAAGCACTGCCACCCACATGGGAGACCCTGATGAAGCTCTTGGCTCTTGGCTTTAACCCAACCCAGCCTTATATCTGTTTGGGGAGTGAATCACAGATAGAAGTTTCTCTCTTGACCATGACTAGCCAAAGCAATTCTGAAGAATAAAAACCAGGCTGGAGGAATCACAACTTAAGATCTCATGACATACTACAGAGCAGTGATCCTCAAAACCATCTGGTACTGGTACAGGGACAGAGAAGATGATCAGTGGAGCGGAATAGAACCCCCAGAATGGAGCCCACACATGTATAGCCAACTAATCTTTGACAAGAAAACTGAAAATAATCCAGGGATAAAACTGGTGTCTAACAAATGCTGTTGGGACAATTGGATAGCAGCCTGCAGAGGTAAGAAACAAGATCCTCAGCTGTCATCTTATACAAAGACCAACTTTAAATGGATCAAGGACCTAAGTCTGCACCCAGAAACCATCAAACTATTAGAGGAGAACATAGGAAGCACTCTCCAAGATATAGGAACAGGGAAAGACTTCTTAGAAAAGATGCCAAAAGTAAAAGCAATCAAAGCCAAAATAAACTAACAGGACTACATCAAACTAAAACCCTGTACAGCAAAGGAGATGATCAACCAAGTGAAGAAGCAGCCAACAGAATGGCAGAAAATCTGCACACCACACAGTTGATAGGGGACCCAGCCATCCCACTGCTAGAATATATCCAGAGGAAATGAAAACTACATATGACAAAGGGACCTGTGATCCTATTTTTATATCAGCACAATCTACAATAGAAAAGACATGGAAAAAATTCAGATGCACATCCAAAGAGTAGTAGATAAGGAAACTGTGGTACATCTACTACATGGAATACCACGCAGCCATCAAAAGAATAAAATTCTACCATTTGGGCCCGATGCAGTGGCGCAAGTGGTTAAGGCCCTCGCCTTGCACACCTGGGATCCCATATGGGCGCCAGTTCTAATCCCGGCAGCCCCACTTCCCTTCTAGCTCCCTGCCTGTGGCCCGGGAAAGCAGTTGAGGACGGCCCAAGGCTTTGGGACCCTGCACCCGTGTGAGAGACCCGGAAGAGGCTCCTGGCTTCTGATCGGCATAGCATCGGCTGCCCCGTTGTGCTCACTTGGGGAGTGAATCATGGGACGGAAGATCTTCCTCTCTGTCTCTCCTCTCTGTATATCCGCCTTTCCAATAAAAAAAATAATAATAATAAAAATAAATCTTTAAAAAAAAAATTCTACCATTTGCTACCAAATGGTCCCAACTAGAGACCGTTATGCTCAGTGAAATAAGTCAATCACAAATGGTCAAATATCGTATGTTCTGTCTGATACCAGGCAACCTCTTCACAAAATACATGATCAATAACCCTTTCAATACTCTTTTTGCTATAGCTCATGGGTTTTATTATTTTCATATATTCAAAATAGTTTTTTTTTCCTCTCATTAGATTCTTCAAAGACTCATAGATTGTACAGTAGCATCATTTTATTTAAAATAGTTTTTGATTTTCATTTCTTCAGTGACACATTGGTCATTCAGTAGCATATTCATTTCATGGTATTGTATATTTTCTGTTTTTCTTCCTGTTGATTTTATGACTTAATAAGGGGATGTGTAATAACTATTAAGAGACTGTTGTGTACTGATATGAAGATACAATGCATATGCATCTCTACTTCAAAATGAAAAATGGAGTCCCAGGGAAACTGTTAAATATATGTTGATAATAGGATATTGGACTTTCTGCAATGTCAGGATACATTTAAATAGGAGAATAATGGACTTATGGCTATTTAGCAAGGACTATGTTATCATAATCTAGTGGTAATCAATGGTGAGGAAAAAAATTAGGTAGGGGGATAAGGAAAATCCCAGAGCTATCTAACTATCATAAAAGAATAATAATAATAATAATAAGTTTAACTCCTTTAGCTCTTTCTGTGTAACTCTGCCTTTGTAATGAAAAAAAAAAAAAGTTGTTGACTGTTGACTTTTTGATTTGCTTTTAAGTGAACAGCTGAATTTAGGGATATCTTTCACTATTGATAGAATATATACATTCTGGTTTTTCAAACCATCCTTCAAATACATTTGCAGTTATATTTGGGAGTGGCAGTTTTTATATAACTGTTGTGATTGGCAGAGGCCTTGAAGCCCAAGATCATAGTTCCCTGTTGTTCTCTAAATTTGAAAAGAATAATCAATTGTAAAAGCTCACATTTGTTTTCGATTTACCTACTGAGCAAATAGTTTTTTATATCTGTGTGTGTATTGTTTTCATTTGCTTTGCTCTTTTTTAGGGGAAAACTTGTGTCATGAATTAGAAGGTGGTGAATATCAACATTTTTATGTGAAGTGTAATAGGAATAACAGAAGTTTCCTTTTAGGATATGTATTGTTGTTATTGGAATCTTAAATGTAATTTTCCTTCTAGGGTTCTGACTTTCCAAATAGCCAGCCAGTTCTTTCTATGCTTAAATGTTATGTAAAAAAAGTGAAAGAAATCTATTCAGGGATTTTTTTTTATGCTACACTGTGACTTGCTTTTTATATTTTGGTGTATTTTTCCTACTTCATTAAGGTTTATAAATAACTAAGGCCATTTTTCTTAAGCTTATGATTTTTTCATATCAAATTGTCCTTACATATTTCTTTTGTGACCTAGGTGACTGTGGCGATCATGTTGTCATAATGAACACAAGACACATTGCATTTTCTGGAAACAAATGGGAGCAGAAAGTGTACTCCTCACACTCTGGGTAAGAGAAGAATGCATTGTGGAGGAAGATGGAAGTTACGATGTGGTGTTGTAGGAATACTTCGAATATTCTTTTAAAAAAATTCTCAAAAGGTGTTTTAGAAAATACTGATTCTATTCATGATACATAATGATTTCCTTCATTAAAAATACCCTACAAAATAATGGAAAATGTTAGCTATTACCTGGTAATGTTTGTTCCTCCCACCTTTTTATAAGACCGTTCCGATCAATTACGATCTCATGTTTTTAAGTCAGTTTTGTCACCTCTTTCTTTTTTCCTCCAGATACTTCATCTTACTGTGTTTCCTGAACCATTGAGAACGTTGAGAGGTTCACCTGACATTTATGCAAGGGCCACTCTTCTCTAAATACGATCTTTCTTAGTATTTGTGTTAAGTATGTAGACTTACCTACATGTGCTACAGTAACTTCCAAGTACGGGGTAACTTTTTCTTCCATCTTTTTGTTAGGCAATCTATTACGATATAATTGTTCTTCAAAGCCATGTTGTTTATATGATTCCTGGAATTTACTGTCAGCTGAGTTTGCTAAGTCCTTTTCAGGCATGCCCCCATTCAAGGATGTGTCTGTCTTCAAGGTTCTTTTGTGTTTCACACTGTAAGACTGTGTGCTTATTCTATGCTGAATTTTATCTCCAGCCTTTTAAGATCTTTGATTCTGATTTTATCATCTAGCTTATTAGTTAACTTGGAGCTTCAGATCATGTGCAAATTTAATTAACCCTAAATCTTTTCTCTCACTTTGTAATCAGAAATTCTGGTTTTTTTCACTCTTACCAAAATCATTCTTTTATTAGCAACTTTACGTTGTCCTTTGATAGTTCCATCTGTTTCATATTTTGCTCAAGTTCATCTTACTTAATTTGCCTTCCTCAGCTGCCTTCACCCAGTCCTCCCCTTAGAACACGTGAAATATTTGTATAACATAACAAGAAGTGTATTTACATCCATCTTCAATGGTTTCTGCTTCTGGAAAATCTCTACATGCTAGCCAGGTTCTCCAAAATTGAGAGAGATTTGGAAACATCAGAAGAAATTAATGTGACAAAGTGTGAAGGGCTGGCACGGTTGTGTAGTAGCTGCTGAAGCACTGCTACGTGCACTGTGACTGCCTGGAACCAGAGGATCGCACCAGCCACTGATGGACTGCGTGGCTCTGCATCTGCTGCCAGCGGTTCTCACAATGGCTGCCAGCGCAGTCTCCTCGGCAAGACCCGGCCCCCCAGCTGCCGCTACTGTTTCTCTGCTTAGCTGAAGTAGTGCTGTTTCTTACCTTTTTGTCTTCCCTCATGTCAAGATGTTGTTCTTAGAACTGACATGTTACTGTTTTTCAGGGACTTTTAATTATCCATTAAAGTTTGGTTCAACTTTCTGGGTTGAATGATTTTTCTGGTTGTGTTATTGGATTCAATTAGCTCATATTTTGTGTGGATTTTTGCATCTTTGTTCATCAGTGGTTTTGGTCTATAATTCTCTTTGTTATTTTTCTGCCTTTGAAATTAAAGTGATGCTAGCCTCATAAAAGAAGTTTCAGGGTATTTCCTTCTTTTTGATTATTTGGAAAATTTTCAGGATTGAAATGAAGTCTTCTAGAACAGTTTGGTAGAATTCAATAGTAAAGCCATCCCTGATCTGGGGCTTTTCTTTGTAGGGCAATCTTTATTACTGATTCAGTGTGGGTTATCAGTGTGTTTGGTTTTCTTAATGGATGTCTTAATGGCACAAGTATCCAGAAATCTGTGTTTCTTCTAGATTTTACTGCCTTTTGACATACAGCTTTTTGTATTCTGATGATACTTATTTCCTTGGTATCTGTTCTAAAATCCTATTTATTTTATTGATTTGATTATTCTATTTGCTTTTTTTTAACATTAATCTGGTCAGTAGTATATCAGTTTTATTTCTATTGTTGAAAACCTAGCTATTCATTTCCCTAATCTTTTGCTTTATTTTTTGTTTCAGCTTTGTTTATTCTCTAGTACTAATCACTTTTTTCTTCCACCAACTCTGGGTTTCCTTTGTTGTTGTTGTTGTTTACGTCCTTAAGATTCATTGATCGAGCATTAATTTGATGCCTTTCTAATCTTGATGTAGGCACTAATTACTACGGAAACTTTCCTCTCAACACTCCTTTTGCTGTTAAGGATTGTCATAAATTTTAATATATTATGTTTTTTTCTTTATCTGTTTCCAGGAATGTTTTGCTTTCCCTTTTGATTTCTATGAACCCTCCCCCCTTCATTCAGGAGCATGTTGTTTAGGTACTTTCTAGAATTTCTCGAGCTGTTAACTTCCATTTTCACTCCGTTTTGATCAGAAAAGACATGCAGTGTTGTTGCAGATTCTGTTTGTTTGTTTGTAACTTGTTCAGGCGTGCTTTTGGCCTAGCATGCGCTCTATCCGTTCCAGAATGTGTATTCTGCAGCTGTGGGATGAAGTGTTCTGTAGGTATTAGTTAGGTCCATTCGGCCCATAGTGTACAGTAGCTCTGTTGTTACTTAGTTGATTTTCTGTCTAGTTGGTTTGTCCATGAGTGAAAATCGGGTGTTGAAATTGTCTGTTGTTGCTGTTTTGCAGTGTGTCTTCCTTTAGATCATAAACAGTTGTTTGAAGTAGCCAGATAAGCTGACTTTGGGTGCATATGCATTTGCTGTAGTCACTTATTGATCCCTTAATCATTTGGGGAGTCATGTTGTCTTCCTTGTTATTCTTTGTGGTTTTTGTTTAAGCCCTTGGTGGTTTTCCCCTTTGATGGCTTTAACCTTTGCTATACACCTGTGTGGCTTAGTAGGGTGTCTGGTCCCTTAGTGGGTATCAGAAGCCTGTGCTTGCCCTCTGAACCTGTGGTCTCCTTAACCCCTGCCTAGGGGGTCACGGCGATGTGCCTGCACACTGCTGTGTGTGTGCTGTCCTCTCTGCCCCACAGCTTCTCTCTGTGGAATTTCTCTTACCATCTTCTCCCCAGCTCTGCCCTGGGCATGTGCCTCCTCCACGTTTCTTTTGATATCTTCTGTTCAAAAATCAACCCTATTTCAGCCAACTTAAAATCCCCTTGTATTCTGCTTTGTTATTGTTGTTTTTAGTGTTTCCAGCAGAATAGTTTACTATGTAATTTTTAAGCTTTTTAAAGAAAATGATGTATGTGTTTGAAATATAGAGGGGAGGGGAAAAAAAGGAGGGATGGAGTTGTTCATCTGTTGGTTCACTCCCTTAACAGCCTTAAATTGTAGAGCCAGCCTGGAGCGCACAACTGCATCTTGGTCCCTTCGCTCAGGTTGTAGGGGACCAAATACTTGTACCATCTACTCCTGTATTTTCAGGCACAGTACTAGGGAATGAATCAGAAACACACAGCTGGGATTCAAGTTGGTGTTCTGAAACGGGATGCCCGTGTCACCAAGCAGCAGCATAATCCAGCGTACCAAAATGTTTGAAATACTAAGAAGCAGCAAATTTTTTGAAGCAAAATTTTATCTATTAATACGGTTGTCTTAATATAAAAAGATCAATTTAAGAATATAATTCCTGACAGGCAAGGTTATGGTGCCTCTTGGGATACCTGCATCCATAGTGTGGCACCTGTGGTTCAGGTCTATCTCTGCCTACTGCCTAGTTTCCTTCCACTGCATCCATCGAGCCACCAGATGAGTTCCTGGCAATCCCTTTGAAACCTGGCTGGAGTTCCTGGCTCCTGGCTTCAGGCTGTCTCAGCCCCAGCTGTGCTGGCATTTGGGGATAAAACAGTACATGCAGGTTCTCTCTCTGTGTAGCTCTGTATACGTGTGAACATTCGTCATATCTGCTTCTTTAACAGCTACCCAGGTGGATTTAGACAAGTAACAGCTGCTGAGCTTCACCAGCGGGACCCAGTGGCAGTAAGTGTCTTTGAGCTTTTATTCATAATCTGTGAAAAACGGATTTAAATTTTTCAGTCTCCATTCTTTTTCAGTGTAGAGTATTCAAGGTTACAAATGCTTTATGTTAGCTGTATATAAGTTTTTAAAGTATTATTTTTATTTTTCAGGTTTGTTTTCTGCTGACTTTTACTTTGTACTTAGTCAAAGAATTCTGATGATTTTTAATTTCTTGAGAAACTGCATAATTTTTTTTTTAATTGATGAAGTTACTGAAGGTGCATTGAAGAGTGAGGGAAAAACAAATACTGTACAAAGATACTTCTAAAAATTTTCAGAGTAGTAGAACTGAAAATATGAGTTTAGAGGGCTGGTGCCATGCTCATAGCCTCTGCCTGCTGCATCAGCATCTCCTATGGGCACTGGTTCAAGTCCCAGCTGCTTCACTTCCAATCCAGCTCCCTGCTATTTGCCTGAGAAAGCAACAGAGAACAACCCAACTTCTTGGGGCTCTGTGGTCACATCGGAGACCCGAAAGAAGCTCCTGGTTCCTGGCTGCAGACTGGCCCAGCTCTAGCCATCACAGTATTTGGAGGGTGATTCGTCAGGTGGAAGTCCTCTCTGTATCTCTTTCTCACTCTGCAACTCTGCTAGTCAAATAAAACAATCTTTTTTTAAAGTATGAGTTAGGGCTGGTCACAGTGGCCTAGTGACTAACGTCCTCACCTTGAACATGCTGGGTTCCCGTATGGGTACCAGCTCTAATCCCAGCGACACCACTTCCTATCCAGCTCTCTGCTTGTGGCCTAGGAAAGCAGTCAAGGACAGCACAAAGCCTTGGGACCTTGCACCTGTGTGGGAGACCTGGAAGAGCTCCTGGCTTCAGAGCAGCACAGCTCTGGCCATTGCAGTCACTTAGGGAGTGAATTATCGGATGGAAGATTTTCCTCTCTGTCTCTCCTCATATGTATCTGATTTGGCAATAAAAGTAAATAATCTTTTTTTTTTTTTAAGTAGGAGTTTATTTTGTTGCAAGATAATTAAAACCCATGCATTATTTTTTTCATGCATTTTCCATGAAATTCTTGAAAGTCTTACATATGCATGGGTTAAGCATGTGTGTATGCACTTCTAAATATTTATGTATTATCCAACATGCTAAGTTTGCTATTCCAGTTTTACATTTAACTTGCTTATTTGTTCATTTGATGCACTCATTACTTGAAATATTTCTAATTGTTAAAATTTCAGTTTTGAGTTAATTTTACCTTACATGTCTATTAATTTGTGCTTCAGGTGTTCTGAAAGTTTTGTATTACATACATTTTTAGAGTTTTTGTGGATCCAGGTTTCAGTTCTGGAAACTCGTTAGCTTTTGTATCTTCTGATATTGCTTCTCTTTATCCCCGAGTTGTTCTCTCTTTAGACATCTGGCTCTATTTCCTCTAAACTAATACTGTATCTCACTTGTCTTCTAATGCATTGTCAGTAATTCTTTCACATTTGTGATTCTTTTTTCTGTCTTTCAACCAATGTCTGACCTAAGTTTTATTGAGTTCTTACTCTCTCACCTTTTTTTTTAAGATTTATTTATTTATTTATTTATTTGAAAAGCAGATGGACAGAAAGAGAGAGAAGGACAGAGATATCTCCCATCCACTGGTTCACTTTCCACATGGCCACAACGGCCCAGCCTGGGCCTGTATCAGTGCAGGAGCCAGGAGCTTCTTCCTGATCTTCCACCTGGGTAAGAGGGCCCAACTCCTGAATCCACTGCTGCTGCTTTCTCAGAACTTTTTCTGGGAACTGGATCAGAAGTGGAACATTTGGGAATGAACAGGTGCCCATGTGGAATGCTGGCACTACAGATGGTGGCTTTACTCACCATGCCACAGTGCCTGAGTTCCTGCTTTCAATCAGTTAGAATCTTCTTTCCTTTTCCTGAGACTTTGTTTGTTTGTTTGTTTGTTTGTTTTCAGATTTCTCTGTAGCCCGTGGAACTCTGTTCCTTTTTATATTTGGGTTCCCTCATATTTCTTTCAGCATAATAAACATACTTCTTAGCATTCACATCTGATTCTTGTGTTTGTGGTTATGCCACTTATTTTGTCTGCCTGAGATACTCAGGAAGCTCACATTTCTTGGTAGTTTATTCTAGGATTTCTTTGAATCTGTGTTAAAAGTGAATTTCTTTTAAAAAATAAGTCTGGAAAATGAATACCAAACCTCCTGACTTTCCGGATTTTGACCCCATAAGGAGGGTGGATTTTAAGCTCAAAGACCTAAGATTTTGTACTTGGGATTAATAGTTATTTATCAACAAATGCTTCATCTTTTTCCAAATGTCTTCACTGTGCACTTCTGCTGTGGTTTTTTCAAGGTAAAGGGTCTTTCGTGTTGCTCATGCAGCAGGCGTTACCTTTTTCAAATCCAGGGCCTAGGCTGAGGTGCTGCTTGAGGACAGCCATCCCTAGGCCTCCCGTTTCCTTGGGGCGTTGGCCTTCTCTTTCCTGCCTGCAGAGGATTCCGTGTTTCAACATTACCTTTGTAAACAGTATTGCAATTTTACCAGTATTTGTTTATTGCCCACTCACTAACTCATATATTGAAATTCTGACGCATATTAGTCTCTGCTACTGGTAAAAGTGAAGTCTCTTGTTTCTGCTTTTGTTTAAAAGAGGAACAGGCACGTCCCCTATCCACTTGTTCACTCTCCAGCCAAAGCTAGGTCAAAGCCATTGTCTGCTATTGTATCCAGGTCTTCCAGGGGAATGGCAGGGATCCGTCACCCACTGACGTCCAAGGTTCACAGCAGAAATCTGGGAGTCAGGAGAGCCAGGACTCCAACCAGGCACAGCACGTGGGCTGAAGGAGCCTCAGGCAGGGGCCTAACCAGCACTGCAATCACCCACTCCTGCTGACTCTCAATGCTTCCTTAGTTAACTTTTTTTTTTTTCTTGGAAAAGCAGATTTTACAGAGAGGAGAGATAGAGAAAGATCTTTTGTCGACAGGCTATTCCACAAGTTGCAACAATAACCAGAGCTGCACAGATTTGAAGCCAGAAACCAGAAGCCTCTTCTGGGTCTCCCACGCAGGTGCAGGATCTCAAGGCTTTGGGCTGTCCTCTCCTGCTTTCCCAGGCCACAAGCAGGGAGCTGAATGGGAAGCAGGCCACCAGGACACGAACTTGCATGCATATGGAATCCCATTGCTTGCAAGGCAAAGATTGAGCACTGAGCCATTGCGCCAGGCACCTTACTGAACTCTGGACAGACCTGGCTTTGGCATGATACACCTGGGGCAGATAACATATGTCAGCCCAAAGACTGTTTTAGTTTTTCACTTAAAAGTATTCATACATGATAAATTTTTTTTTAAAGATTTATTTTTATTATTTTTTTATTGGAAAGGCGGATATACAGAGAGGAGAGACAGAGAGGAAGATCTTCCGTCCGGTGATTCACTCCCCAAGTGAGCGCAACGGGCCGATACTATGCCGATCCGAAGCCAGGAGCCTCTTCCGGGTCTCCCACGCGGGTGCAGGGTCCCAAAGCTTTGGGCCGTCCTCCACTGCTTTCCCGGGCCACAGGCAGGGAGCTGGAAGGGAAGCGGGGCTGCCGGGATTAGAACTGGCGCCCATATGGGATCCCGGGCGTGCTAGGCGAGGACCTTTAACCACTTGCGCCACTGCGCCGGGCCCAGATAAAATGTTTTTAATTAACTAAAGTGACAAAAGTATATATTTCAAGAAGGCAAACATTTGTTCAGGATAGCACTTAATTTTTTTTCTTTTGGCAAAGTGAAAGAGAGGGATATTTTGTTATATTAAAGCTGACTCAGTGTTTCAAACTATTTTATGCCATTCATTTCTCCTATTTTCCAAAAATGCTCAAGGATTACTTTTTTAAAAGTACTTAATGTTCAGGTTTTTTTTTTTTTAAGATTTATTTATTTATCGGAAAGTGAGATATACAGAGAGGAGGAGAGACAGAGAGGAAGATCTTCCGTCCGATGATTCACTCCTCAAGTGAGCACAACGGCCAATGCTATGCCGATCCAAAGCCAGGGTCCAGGAACTTCTTCCAGGTCTCCCATGTGGGTGCAGGTTCCCAAAGCTTTGGGCTGTCCTCAACTGCTTTCCCAGGTCACAAACAGGGAGCTGGTTGGGATGGGGATGCCGGGATTAGAACCGGCGCCCATATGGGGTCCCTGCGCGTTCAAGGCGAGGACTTTAGCTGCTACGCCATGCCTCTGGGCCCTTAACGTTCAGTTTTATAGGTAATATTTTAAATTCCCTATTTTGACTGTGAATATGGTTTCTGCATAATGTTTATAGGTGTTGTAGGACCAGTGCCATAGCTCAGCTGGCTGAACATCCCCCTGCAAGCGCTGGGATCCAATATGGGTGCCAGTTCTTGCTCCACTCCTCTTCTTCCCACCCAGCTCCCTGTTTGTGGCCTGGGAGGGCAGTAGAGGATGGTGCAAACCCTTGGGATCTTGTACCTGCATAGGAAACCCAGAAGAGGCCTGGCTTCGGGTCGACTCAGCTCCAGCTGTTGCAGGCATTTGGGGAGTGAAGCAGTAGATGGGGAGATCTTTGTCTCTCCATTTCTCTATAAACCTTCCTTTCCAATAAAAATAAATAAATAGTCCAAAAATAAATGGTTGCGGTGGCTGCTGGTAATGTGTACCCTGTTATAATATTTTGTATTTAAAGATTTTCTAAAAATAATTCTATTCAGATATGTTAAATTTACACTAGGAGGCAGTATAGTCCAGCTCTTATTAAAGAGTTCAAATTAACATTTCCACAAACTTCAGATCTATTTTTTTTTATGAGCAAAGATTGAAATGTATTATAAAATGTTCCAGGAAGGGTTAGAAAATATTGCAGAGTTGAATTTGTTAATCATCACCTCATAAAATGATCTTTAATTTTTTATGTCTGAATTTTGACCTTCTGTTTCAAAAGTGAATGTCTTTATGGAAGAAATCAGTTTATTTATTTCCAGCTCAGGCACTATTTTTCTGGAAGAGTAGACCTTTATCATCAGATCTAACTTGCTGAAGAATTTTTTTAATAATGAAAATTTCTGATTATTAATATAGAACCAGAATATTGTTTACAAATAGGCGACATGTTGAATATTTCAAAGACTCTTACAGTTACATATATTCTAATTTCAAATAGATGCTTTACTTCTACCCGTTCCCTGTGTGCTTTGCTTCTGTGTTATCCACATCTTTATGACCGTAGTCTCCTTAAGAGATTCTTCATCTATTCTCTCTTCCAATGTACTTCCTTGTTCCACATTGTCTTTCGTGCAATTGAAATGTTTTGTGTGAAGTAGATGTTCAGGCCCTGGGTTATACATTGTTTTTTCAAATATGCATTTATTTATGTGAAAGAAAGAGAAAAGGGTGGGGACAGGAGGAAAAGAAAGAGATCGTCAAACTGGATGCTGGAGTGGCAAGCAGTGACTTAGCCCACAGCAGCCGTGTGCTGGGGCTGTTTGCTTGTAAACAGTATCTGGCTGTGTTGTGTGATCCCGAGCATGCGCTTCTGCGCAGAGGGGTTGTGGGGATTCACTCTTCAGGAGGCACCCAGGCAGGACCAAAGGCTTGGACCATCTTCTGCTGCTTTCGCAGGCCGTAGGTAGGGAGCTGGGCGGGAAGCGGAGCAGCCGGGAGAACCAGCACTCACAGGGCACGCTGGTGCCTCTGTGCACCTTTCCCAGCTCCAAGGGGCCAGGCCTGGGTTCAAGTGAGAAGCATTTTTAATAGTATCTGTCTTTGCCACTTCCTGACTTTTGAAAAACTTTGCTGAAGTCTGTACTGCTAGAATCATTTTATTATGTATCTATGTTGTTTGTTGTTTTTTTTTTTTGTCTGCATATATTTGTATGGGTCTTGTCTGTTAATGTAAGTTTTTCATATTTTCTGGTTTGCCCCAACTTAATGCACAATGTTTGCATTTTCTGAAAGAGAAAATTTATGAAATATCAACTCGATAATCTGATTACAGCTGAATATTTTTGAATCTGAAAATTAAGTTCCATGCGGCCCTGCTTTACTCGCTTAGCATTGTAGTCTGATTTAATGGAAGGGTAAAAGGAATAGGAAATCCTCTTATTTAGGCAGCCCTGTGGAAACGTGTTATTTTAGTGAGCTTAGCTTCAACAGACATAAAATTATAGTACAGATGATAAAACCCAATGTAGCACTTCAGAAATTTCTATTGGTGATTTTATGCAGGGCTCACTGTGTATTCTCTGTATTTATTAAAAACCGGGCAACCCTCGGAATTGGCGAGCGCCAGGAGACACAGTGTGGCCTTCTCCTAACCCGGTGTGGAGAAGTCATGCAGACCGGCAGCAGGTAGCAGCAGGTGTAGCCTCAGAAGGAAAGAGTGAACCGCAGAACAGCTTCCTGTCTTGGGGGGGGGAGGGATGTGCTGAGTAGAAGGGACTTGGCTGTGGGGAGGGGTTCATAAAGGGAGGCATATTATAGGGGTGGTTGCACGTGTCTGCTCTGGGAGAAAGATTTCTTAGTTTGAATTCCAGTACCCCATTTATCAGACACATCAAATTGGGAAATTCCTTTAAGTGCGGTAAGTCTGCTTTCTTTACCGTGAATTGGAGCTGTTGTAACCTACTTCACGGCATTGTGAATAAGATATTTTTGAAATGTAATGCACTGATCACCAGACACAGTTTCATTACATTTTAGACATTCGCTGTTGTTGTAACCCTGCTTCTCAACAGCTGTGAGAGCTGAAAAAATGCTGATCTTGCTTTGGGAGGAAATAGGTTCTTCTCTACTCAGCATGTGATAAATTATTTTAGCCACAGGTTCTTATTTATTCGTAGAGAATTTCTTCTTACTCTATCCAGAATTGCCACATACTCACACACAGAATAGTTTTAACTTGTTTCTTATTTTCTTTTTCTAAATATGCTGTAAAACAAATAGAGCCTAAACAAAGTTGTCACATGGTGATTTAAAACCCCCTCCTGTGTAGCCCCACGTCTGTATCCCCTCTGTCCCGAGGTCCTGTTCAGTCTTGCCCACCTACTTCCATCACCACCACTCTGCTCGCATTCTTTTTACTGGGAGTCATAATTTTCTTATTAATTGTAAGTGTACCTATTTTTCAGATTGTAAAATTGGCTGTTTATGGCATGCTGCCCAAAAACCTTCAGAGAAGAACAATGATGAAACGACTGCATCTTTTTCCAGATGATGTAAGTCAGTAATTGCTGATGAAATATACGTCCTAAATTTTCAATTAAATATTTTTTCTAATTCTTAAATAGTTGCTGAAGAGCTATTTTTAATAATTATGTCAACTTCTAAATTTCTTTTAATTTTTAGTTTTTTGTTTTTTTTTAAATTTTACTTGTTTAAGCAGAGAAACAGAGAGGGGAAAAACAGAATCATTTCCTGTTCGCTGGTTTATTTCCCACACACCTGTAACAGCTGAAGTGGGTCTGTTCAAACAAGGAGCTAGAAACTCCATCTGTGTCTGTCCTGTGGATGCCTGAGGCCCAACCATTTCAACCAACACTTGGTACTTCCGTGTGTCTGCATTCACAGGAGGCTGGAGTGGGAGGCAGTGCTGGGACCCGCTTTGGTTTGACAGAAATTATGATTAGAGCTCCTCTTATATTGCAGTACTTTTGGATAATTTTACCATCTATGGGAAAAAATTAAGTGAATCCACTTTTTTTTTATTTGACCAATACTGAAACTTCCACAAATGATTTGTTAATAATTTTTCTTGTTAATTATTTTCTGTAAATTACCTTTAGATTTTTCTCCTATTCAAAATTTAGCTAGCTAAAAAGTAATTTTTAAAATTAAACATCTTTCTTTATTGCCACTATGCTATTTTAAGCACTGAGCTTTTTAGTGTAATATCATAAAACACTATGTACAGTTGTCTTTAAACATAACCAAGGATTTGTTTAATAATTACCCAAAGGAATGTGTAATATCATAAATTTTAATAAAATTCTAAATCCCAAGTAGGTGCCTTCATAAGTAAAACAGGTGTCTTACGAGTACGTGGTTGTTCAGGCATTCTCTCCTGTCCTGTTTTTGTGTAATTATCTGACAGATTTGAATTGAGGACGTGACGGAGCTGGGGAAAGGCATTTTGCATCTTGCTATAGACTTTTCAGTGAGAAAGCATGTGATCAACACTGACTGTGGTATGCAGCGATAGCGGCTGAGCCAATCCGAGCCACAATCGTAATAGCCATTTTAAGTCTTTAAGGCTTCAAACTATAAAAAAAAGTTTGCTCTCTCAGGTTTTAGAATTAACATAGTAGAATTCTGTGATTCTAAAGCTACTATAAAATTGTATTTTATTGTTAACATATACTGAAGGTTCCTAAGGGGCCAAAACTGTCTTCTTTGGTGCCATATCTTTTGCCAAATGTTTGATTTGAAATTGCAATGTTACTCTCTGTAAAGAGATCTAATGTATGATAATCTTTTTGAAAACATCTGTAACGAAAATAGGGAATTTTACTGACTGTCCTTGTAAAAATACCCATACGATATTCCCATATCCGCATGTTACCATTATTTCTTTTTTAATAAAGATTTATTTTATTTTTATTGGAAAGGCGGATATACAGAGAGGAGAGACAGGAAGATCTTCCATCCCATGATTCACTCCGCAAGTGAGCGCAACGACTGATGCTAGGCTGATCTGAAGCCAGGAGCCTCTTCCGGGTCTCCCACGCGGGTGCAGGGTCCCCAAGCTTTGGGCTGTCCTTGACTGCTTTCCCGGGCCACAGGCAGGGAGCTGGAAGGGAAGCAGGGCCGCCGGATTAAACCGGGGCTCATATGGGATCCTGGGCGTGCAAGGCAAAGACCTTAACCACTGTGCCACCGCGCCGGACCCATGTTACCATTATTTAAATAATGTTTCCCAAACTAATTTGTCTTGGAGTCTCAAAATAGAATTTTTCGAACTTCCGTATTTCTGTGTCACAGGCGCAAGATGAATGTTTATTATTGGTTACCTCTGCTCTTTATTGTTTCCTTTATTTACTCTGATTCTTATATTTTCTTCTTTTAAGTTACTTTTCAGAGTCTTGCTTTACTCTTTAACTGATTTGTCTTTCCCGACATTCAGATTTTCACATTTTAATTTGATTGCTGAAATAGCCACTTAGCTGTTTTCCAGTGCCCTCCTATTGCAGTCCATTATGCCTGCTATGCCAAATCGGTCTTGCAGGTTTTCATTTTTCTGAACATTTGGATATATAATAGGGTGAAAGTGGTTCTGAGCAGAAGGAATACTCTTAATAAAGGCACGAGGGTTTGGGTTTAAACCAAAGCCATGAAAAGTGAAGAAGTTAAAAATAAGAAGCCATAGGTGTGTGGAAATCACGTCGGAGAGGCCAGCCAGGAGTGGGGACATTGCTGTAGTTATGATCTGATTTTTTTTCTCTACCTTCTTGGCACCTAGCACAGTTTCTGGTAAGAAATTCAGAAAACATTTCACAGAGAAGTAAATGACTATAAGATCATTTAAAATTTTTTTTTCTAGCAGCAACCTGGGGCATAGATTAAGGTAGTGAGTCTGGATACAGTAGCCCTAGTTCATGCACCCATCAGATGAAAAGATTGAGATCAAGCCATGCAGGAAGGAATAACCAATAGTATTTTTCTAAAAATAGATAATACATTGTTATAATGAATTTGGGGGGCTTTATACAGGTTTTGTTCATTTTAAAGATTAGTTTCCTGATTCTATAATTATTTGTTTTTAAGATTCTGCCGTAGTTGTTGGCCTTTTATATTATTGTTGTTTTGTTTATTGTGTTTGAGAGTCAGAGAGATACTTAGAGGAGACAGATAGAGGTTCGCTTGTCAAATGCCCACTGTGGCTGAGATTGGGCCAGACTAAAGCTGAAGCTAGGAGGTTAGGCCAAGTCTCTTTGGGTGTCAGGGACCCAACTACCTGGGCCACCACTTAATGCCTCATCAGGTGTTCGTTACAACAAAGCTGGACTCTTGACTAGACCTGGCTTCATTTCACAGGCACTTTTGTATGGGCTGTAGTATTCCAGCCATTGTTTGAACCATTGCCATCCTAGCATTCTTTGGCTTATTATTCTTTAACATTTCCTAAATATTATTGATACTTATTGAGAAATATTTTGAGAAAATTAAGCTTATTTTTTTATTATAGAATATTCCAGAAGATATTCTTAAAAATTTAGTGGAAGAACTTCCTCAGCCACGCAAAGTACCTAAACGTCTTGATGAATACACACAAGAAGAAATAGAGGCTTTCCCAAGAGTATGGTCTCCGTAAGTGTTTCCTTTCTGTTTCCTGGCTTTCTTCTTTGTTTGTAAGGTTCAATTTGGTAGCCTGTTTCCTCAGTGATAAGAACCTTGGAAATATGAAAAATGAAATATTTTTTTTCCATTCTTAGAAACTCAGCAACCACTACCTTTAAGTAAATTCTACATATAGATGTTAGAACCAAAATTATGTATGCCTCAGCCTGTTTGCGTAAGATCAAGAATGTTTTTAGATGCCTCTAGTTGTTAATTACTTTTTTAAGATGGCCTTACTTGGATTGCCTGTAGTCCTTTTGCATGATAAATAATTCAGTTAATTGTCATTAACCTAAAATAAAGTGATTTCCAGTTTTCCAGATTGCTTTATAAACCAAGAATATCATGTAATGAAGTTACTCATTCTGGAATTGAACAAGTAGAAAAACAAAGTCAAAACTTTTTGCTGTCCTGGATGCTGTTTTCCTAAAGCCCATAGAGCTGCCAAGATCTGACTAGCGGCCTCCATCTGATTGCTGCAGGCTGCTCTGCCTGGCCTGTGCAGGTGCAGCAGGAGGCAGTGACAAGCTGTAACACATGGACTGGCTTAGGTGTCCTGTTATGCAGTGTCATCCAACACTTTCCTTTTCATTCACTAAATTTACTCTTATGTACTTAAGCATTGATGGGATTATCTGGTCGATGTCCCTTACTACATTTCATGAGGGAACTACATTTATCTCTTGTTTAGCACTGAGCACTCTGCCTAGTACATTAAGTAGGCACTTAGCAAGTATTTATGGAATAAATTTGTGAAGACTTAAAATATCCTTTTAACAGTTTTATGAGAGAATTTCTACAAGAAACCGAGCAGCACTTTTCATTTTTCACAGCATTTATCACTGTCCAAAATAATTCATTTTGTATCTTTGCATCCTCTGAGTTGGTCTACAGTAATTGCAGTAATAAAAATAACAAGTGCTTAGGAACGTTTATTGCATACTTTAAAGAAATTATAACCTCAGGGCAAATGAATGAGTTAGTTTATCCCCATTTTTCAAACATACAAAAAATAAGAATCAAGATGAATTAACTTACCTAAGATTAGATATTTCTAAGTGTTAGATTAAGGACTCTGTGTGACCAGGTCCCCACATCACACTGCTGGTCACTGTGCTGGAGGGCCCTTGTTGTACTAAGTACCCCTAACTGGCCAGATGCTATTCTTATGTGGTGATAATGGTTTCCATTTACATTTGTCTTGTGACAAGACAGGATTTCATCTTTATGGCTGAGTAGTATTCCGTAGCAGGTGTGTGTGTGTGTGTGTGTGTGTGTGTGTGTGTGTGTGTGTGTGTTTATTCTTTATCCAGTCATCTGTGACTGAGATTTGGTTCACTTCTGTGTCTTGGCGAGTGTGACTTGAGCAGCAGTGCACATGAGGGTACATGTAACTCTTATATACTGACTCATTTCATCTAGGTAAATTCCCAGGAGTGGAATAGCTGAGTGCTATAGTAAAATATTTTTCAAATTTCTTGAGAAAACTCCATACTGTCTTCCTTCCATAATGGTTTTACTAGTGTTTTGCTAGTTTATGTTCTCACAGTTCTCAGTTACTTAGTTTTGCAAATTATATTTTGAGAAAAACATTTAAGTCCTTACATTTTTGGCAGTTTTGGCAGCTTACCTTCCTAAAAGAAGCTCTATGAATACAGTAAGTGGGTCTTATATAATTCTTACAGAAATGCCAATCTAAAAGCATTTGATTTCTAATCAAGAGAGATGTGTTACTTTTTTTAAACCAGAAGTACCAAAGGTGTAATTTTAGCAAATAGATGACAATCACATAGTATGTATTAAAATTGTAGATCATGAATATTCCAAAATATGTTGTAAATCAGTTAAACTGAGTTGTATAGTAATGTAGTAACCATTCATAGCAGTGTGTATTAAGTGTGACTATAGTCAGAGGACTGTTAAGAATGTTCACTTTACTGAATAGTTTCTGCTTCACTGTAAAATGAGAAGCTGACCAAGTGCCTTGATTTTAGTAATAGATTTAGAACACTTGGTTTATTATTATTTTAAAGATACTTTTGGAGGAACTTAGAGCCACTTGATGTGTTTTTTGTTTTGCTTTGTTTTTTTGTATTAATTACATTGCATTATGTGACACAGTTTTATAGGTACTGGGGTTTCCCCCCACCCTTCCCCAAACCCTCCCTCCATGGTGGATTCCTCCACCTTGCTGCATTGCCACAGTTCAAGTTCAGTTGAGATTTCTTCATTGCAAGCATATACCGAGCATAGAGTCCGGTATCTTATTGCCCAGATAAGTTCAAGGCTTCAAAGGGGAGACCTTCTCTGGTCTGAAGGTAGAGCTGGCAGAGTATCATCACGATCAATTAAAAGCCCCAAGATAACATCAGCAACAATTTATAACGTTATGGAATTAGTGGACATAGTATTGAGTAACCAATATGTTAAAAAAAAAATGCAAGTTCTTAACCACATCCTGTGACTTCTTCATTGACATTTTGATTTTAGTTTACTTGATACATTTTTAAGTGACTGCTTTGAAATGGGTTTTCCTCACCTATATTTTTCCATCCCAGTTTTCTCTCTAGCAGGAGTTTGCATTAGTACACATTTCCTGTCCGCTCTGTCTGGTTGAGTTTGTTCCTCTTCAGCATTCACATAGCTTTGTGATAACTTCTGTCCTCTAAATAACACAATGACTGCACTAACGAAGCCTGGGGATAGATGAATATTTGATAACCTCATAATCATGCAACAAATCATTCAGTCTGTTGTTTCCTTGCACAATAGAACTGATGTCTGGCCCTGTTAGTGTTTATCACATGGAAAGTATGTGACAGGAAAAATTAGTCTTTTTGTGGTTAACATGAATTTGCTATCCAGTAAGTAGATGATCATTTAGTGTCATCCAATAGAGCTATCTATAATAACTTCCAGAATGGAAAAAAAAGAAAAAGCAGGCTTGTATCTGAGCTCCTAGCTCCTAGTCAAAAGTGGTTTGTTGGGCTTGGCGCCATGGCCTAGTGGCTAAAGTCCTCGCCTTCAACATGCCAGGATCCCATATGGGCGCCGGTTCTAATCCCAGCAGCTTCACTTCCCATCCAGCTCCCTGCTTGTGGCCTGGGAAAGCAGTTGAGGATGGCCCAAAGCCTTGGACCCTGCACCCATGTGGGAGACCTGGAGGAGGTTCCTGACTCCTGGCTTCAGATCAGCTCATCTCAGGCCATTGTGGTCACTTGGGGTGTGAATCATTGGCCAGAAGGTCTTCTTCCAAGTCTTTCCTCCTCTCTGTATATCTGACTTTCCAATAAAAATAAATAAATCTTTTTAAAGAAAAGGTAGCTCTTCAAGACTTACACTAATTAATTACCTTAATTAACTTAAATGTCAGTAGCCTCATACGGAGTCCTGTTGGGTTACACCATTTTGGTCATTTCCCATTTCAAAAAATTTTATTAATTACTGTATACTCTAGAATTAGAGTTAAAATATTTGTTATATAACCAAATACATTAAAAATGGGAGTCTTGGTATATTTGAAGTTTTATCTTTCTGATGACAAAATGCCTTGCTCCTTAGGAGAAATCCAGCTATGCTCTCCTGCCACCCAGAACTATGAACATATATTGTTAAATTCAAACTATTCCCCGTATCAGTGTTATTGCCTGTTCATTGGACTTGTTAAATTAGCAGGCATATCTAATGTATTACTATTCATGTTTCTTGGTACTATAAATGTGTTTGCATGTGCAGGTGGTATGATTGTGGGGTTTGCTCATAGAATTTGCTTCTCCATTTCTTTGAAGAAATAGCATTAAAATTATCCTTACTTTTTTATGATTTTGTTGCCTGAAACTGTAGCATTTAAGTGGTCAAGTTAATACTATTAATAATTATATTCATAATTTTTACAGTGTCCCCAATATATTACAGACCCCAGTAGTAGAAATTACAGTGCTTCTGTTGCATTGAAAATGTTCACTATGTGAGCTGAAAATAAAACTTGGATTATTTAAAGCTTTTTTTGTTATTATTTTCAAATTTTAAAAGTAGGAGAGCTTTTCTTTGGAAAACCTCTGAGGTTTGGAAAGGTTCTGAGGTATATTGTTGTACCTCACTGTTAAAGCTTTATTTATTAAAATAAAATGCTTTGTTTGAAGCTGAACTCAGGCCCTTGTAGAGGTATTAAGCATGGAAAGTCTAGATATCATTGAATGCATAAAAACAGCTGTTTGTTTGTCATGAAAAGCCACACCCCAGGTACTTAAATGTTATTCCAGAGTGTGCTGACAAATGTGCCTGCAAAGGCAGGGAGGGTGGACAGGATGAAGCAGGGGAGGAATGAGGATAGCCAGGATGGGACTTGAAATTTGCTTCCTTCAAATGTGATTAAACTTAGAATTTTGGTCTGTGATCCTTTGGGCTCCTTTCAAAGGCAGGCAAGGTTCTAGGTGCTGGGAATATTAGAAAAAGGCCTAATTGAACTCCCTGTTTAGTCTGCAGCTTTAAAAAGAGCGCAGAAACTTAAGTTTAAGGTCTGCTCTCTGATGGGCAACCTGTTAATGCTCTAAATATACAAATTCTTAGATTTAATTTAATACTCAGAAAATTAGTTTTTCCTATTCCTTTTATGTTATTTTATTTTAAAGGTTTATTTTCTTTTGATTGGAAAGTCAGATATACAGAGAGGAAGAGAGACACAGAGAATGATCTTCCGTCCACTGATTCACTCCCCAAGTGGCCACAACGGCCAGAGCTGAGCCAATCAGAAGCAAGGAGACTGGATCCTTCTCCGGGTCTTCCACGCGGGTGCAGGGTCCCAAGGCTTTGGGCTGTCTTTGACTACTCTCCCAGGTCACAAGCAGGGAGCTGGATGGGAAGTGGGGCCGCTGGGATTAGAACCGGCACCCATATGGGATCCTGGCGTGTTCAAAGCAAGGACTTTAGCCTCTAGGCCACACCAGGCCTTACCTATGCCTTTTAAATAT